ACCCTCAGCTCCATCTCTTTCCCCATTTTTGGATCTGGGCGTGACTCGGTGAAATAATCAGTGGTGGGAACCTCCCAGTTTTGGTATCGACTTTCTCCCTGTCAGAGCAATCGGCGAGCTACTGACTGGTTGTGTTGTAAAATGCCTTGGGGGGTTTGTAGACGCCTAGAAAGTGCTACAAGCCATTTACTTTTTACACTCACAGTTAAATGCTTCACTATTTGTGTCCTCTGTGTAAAAATGTAAGGCTAAGTTGGTTTACAGTAGTCCTGATCTTGAATTGATGGGTTAGGGTTAGCCCAGTGGGCAGTCCCCACCACCGCCATCTTAGCTGTGTCACGTGACTTGCAGAGGTGGAACAAGTACTAAAATTTCCTACTCCAGTACGAGTACCAATACTTTGATGATTTTTTACTCTAGTAAAAGTAAAAAGTATCGTAAATTAAATGTACTCAAAGTAAAAGTTACTTAGTTACATTTTTGTCAGCGTAAAGATGGCTACATCTAAGTAGTGCAAAATCACAGTGCCAATTCACAACACGCCTGTTTGTGTGTGTGCGCACACACACACAGTTTGAGGGAAGAATTTCTATCCAATCGGTGAGAACAGGACGTGCACATTGATTGGACGAGGTTTTATATATATGTTTTATATGGCCTAGCCTTTCCTTCCCCTCATTAGAGTTGTAATTTTTAACCTGCTTGTTGTTTCAGCGTGTACTAATTCTTTTAATTTAGTTGCTTAGCATCTTGTATTTCCTGTACAGCTCTTTGGTGTTACTTTGTACCTGTAAAGCTTTCATACATAATCTCTATAAATAAAGATTGAGTTGAGTTGAAAATGGACACCTGAGTACGATTATATCATCAGATGATTATGGAGGAATCAGTCTTTTGACTGTTCGTACACACGTTCTAAATGTTGGTTGTAGGAGGGAGTATAAGACAGTTTCTTCGATCTTTTGATAAATGAGGGCCCAGGAGTGCTGTATTGCTCCAGATTAACCTCTCAGCTGTTTCTGTTTACAAAAGTGAAACGTATTGTCTGTGTTTGCTTTCATTTTCAACATAGTTGCCCACCAGAGCTCCGCAGTAACTCCCCACGTCATGATGACACCTCCCTCTGTTGCGCCAAGGCCCAATCACCGTTGATGGGACAGACAGTTACCACGATATTACGAACCCTGACATGTTTTTTGAACAAGGCTGTAAACATGTTAATTTCTGCTGTGAAGTTGGTTTTGTTAACCCGGGAGTCGGTGTGAACTTCCTCCTTTCTGGAGCCAGCCCCCATCAGGGCCCCTAGCAGGGCTTGGTGTCGGGAGCCAGAAGATGGAGTGACATACAAATGTAACATCTGTCTGTTTTCTTGAATTTTAAAGTAAAACTCTAAATTTGAAGCTGAAACAGGAAAATGCGTGAATGCAGCCAAAATCGGGTTTGGGGGTATTTTTCATGAGGGAACAACACCACATGCTAAAAAGCTCCAAAAGGTGGATTTTCCATCATATAGCCCCTTTAAGTTTGTGTGCTGTCATGGGGCTCATGGTGTTTTCCCATGTGTGGTCACTCTGGGGTTCAAAGCCTCTTGGCTTTCATCTGCTGTGAGATGTGATGGATAAAAAACTACCATCAGAACACTCGAATGTTTATAGAAGCCTGAACTGGCAGCTCCAAAAGCAGCTGAATGTTAAGAGAAAGTGGGAGTGGGTGAGGTGAACAAGAACAAAACAGATGAGGGAAGCGAGTGAATAATGGATGGCCAGAGGTTGGCCAGCAGCATATTAGACTAATGGAATAAGTGAGGGTGAAGTAAAGGACGTGACTGAGATGGCACGAGGCAGGGGGAATAACCCACTTTACGGGGACTCTTATGGCTTGTTAGCCTCGTTTAACAGCTTTGAACAGTCTTGTCATATTTCTCTCCCATTTGAATTCAGATCTTTAGTGTTTTTCACAAACCTACCCCCACCCCTTTCCCCTCTATATAAATGGCAGGCGCCAAGTCACTCTAACAAGGTATGGCAGCTTCATTCCAGACAATGAACCCAGGATTAACAAACTGGGTGCTGGAGCTGTATTTAGGACCAAACAGAGGGCTTGGTGCAGTCGGACCTTGCATTGTTAGTGCCTTAAACGCACCCTCTGATTCTCTCAGGGTAAAACTTTCACACTCTGGCTAACTCCTCTCCTGGATTCCCTTTGAGTCCAGTTCTGCCTAAACAATGGACCAATCAGAGCAATAACCGGTTTTAGATAAAGATTACAACCTTTTCCAATCATACCCTGTTGAAGCAACACTTTTGTTTAGATCTAAGCCTCACTAGTCTTTTCTTGGGAACTTTTCATTTGGTCTTTGAACGCTTTGCAGAATGATGGTTTTATAAATGAAATTACTTGATTTATAACATTTTTAGTTCAATTAAACCTATTAATGCTAATTTTTGTGGAAACATACTTCAGCCACTACCTAACAAAAGACACACAGAGATGTGAAACTAGGAAGTGAACACAATTCGGACTTCATGTTGCAAAAGGTTTTCGTCAACGGAATGAGCTCATGATCGTCTGAGTGAATCTCAAATGTACAGGTGCTTGTTCAGTGGCATAAACATACTAATACACAGAAACTGTAGTTCATGGTCCTCATTCATCAAACGTTGGTAGAGAATATCCTAGATTTCATTCGTACGAATGAAATCTAGAGTGTTTGTATGAACGGCCAAAATCCTGATCTACGAAACACGTGGTGGCCTCTAGTCTGCACGTCCCTCCACAATCGACTGATGGTAGGTCCCACCGGTGCGTACCCAAGTGCTTGTGTTCATTCATTTATAGGGATGTCCCGATACAACTTTTTCACTTCACGATACAATATTGATATTACAGCATTCTGTATTGACCGATACCGATATTAGTCTGATACGATATCAGCACAAATCATACATACCTTTACCTGTTTCGTAGTGTGGAATGTATGAAATGCTCGATCAAGTGATATTACTCAATTGGAGACCAAGAGCCAATAACAGTAGGTTTGAAAAGAATGACAATTTTTTCTTAACCTACGGTTGCCAAAATGTGAACCTTGACGGACTGCTAATATGGGAGATTTTTGATGCCGTCCAAAATAATCCGATACACAGATTTTGGTCTGATATCGAATTACTTCTGATATCGATGTCGAAACGGGACATCCCTACTCATTTATATACAGAAATGCCGCAATTAACCATATTTGGTCACACCACTTCCTCCAAAGCTAATGACAATCCTGCATTCCTCCTGAAAGAGAAGAAAACACGTCTCTGATAGCGAGATCGAGACACTGGGGGAACCAGCAAAAGAAATAATGCACAGATTGTAAATGTGGTCAGGCCATAAGAGAGGTCTCCATCAGGAATAAAGAAAAAATGGTTCCACATAAAAACAAAACACTGCAGAGTAACGTACTGCTACACCATCATCACCAAGTAATCTAAACATGAATCCACTAAAAACAAATAGTTATAAAAGTGACATCACTAAGAACATTAACCTATGTCAGTCATTGAGTCACAGATCCCATTCTTTGATCTTTATTTAACCAGGAAAGGCCAGTGGGATTAAAAAATTTGAAATGATTTATAACTTTCTTCAAACCTGCAATTGAACTAATGGAGTTATAATTTCTTTGTTAAGTGTTTTGCCCAATGACACAACTACTGCAACAGATGGGGCTCGAACCTGCAACCCTCCTTTTAAAGGCAGTTGGACCGCTGGAGAGCAGTAGCCATCGAGCTCTGGCATGTTTAAGTGCATCTCCAGCAGAGCTGAGTGGGTTTTTAACAGAAATCCCAAAAACCAAAAACATCCATTTAGATATAATTGTATGTACTGGTGTAGTACATTCTGCCAATCCAAGAAACAAAGATTCCTGTCAAATGTAGTTTTGACTGCATTTACTTTGTGGGTGTTTGTTAAAAGAGCCTTTAGATAAAAGTGTAAAAGATACAGAGATGGTGAGAAAAGTGAAGGAGAAGGTTGGGTGGAAAATGAAGTTGCCAGATATTTAAAACAACGGTTGAACTGATTGTCGGCATTGTGACAAACGCAGTCTGGTTCACAGTCCCTGAGTGCCAAAGGCACCTGAATGCTGAGCGTGAGAAAACGGTGTAAGGGAGTCCAGACACTGTGGTCTCGACCTTCAGTCTGCTTTCTTCTATTTATACACACACACACACGCACGCACGCACGCACACACACACACACACACACACACACACACACACACACACACACACATAAAGCATGCACCTGCAATCTTAGTCATGATATGCACACATGCACTGGTTACACACACACGCTCACAAAATATGGACAAGCTTAAGACTGGTTACCACAGCAACCATATAACAGAATCACCGGTCCTTCTCTGTTGCCCTGGCCTAGCTAAACCTCGTTGGTTTATGCTACCCCATTTGGTGATATCTGGGGGTGTCCCCCCTTTGTGTTCATACATGGTTATTTCAGAGGTCAATTCTCCTCTCGTTGCTCTGTTGCCATGAGTGTCAGCCTTCGTCTGGACCACAGCAGGCCCAAAATAACTGTGTGTGTGCGTGCGTGTGTGTGTGTGTGTTTTCTCTTACTTTTGCTCCCAGTTCCCTTTTCCAGGACTGGAGACAAGAAACCCAAGTGCCAACATTACATCACCTCAATGAAGTGCCGGTTAAACATCATATAACACGATACTGTACAGCAAATGAAAATAGCAGGGAGGTTTAAAGAGGGCTAAGCAAAGGATATGTGCAGGACAGTACATTTCCTTATGCTAATAAGTAAAGTATTGATTTTGTTTCAGACTTTACTGGGTGCTGCATACTTCTGTGGTAAAGAGGTTACTTCAGCACTGAGCTAAAGGTCTCAACTACTCTGACATCACTACTGGCTGCCTGCAGTTCCCAAATAGAAGCTCCAACCCAACTTGTACTGCATCTTTATTATATTTTGTTTGCTTACAGAATCACGACCCATGTCCATCCCAATGAAAGTGATGCCTGACGTCACAGCGGAGGAGTCCTGGGCTGCCTCAGATGAACGAATGAAGGAACTTTTCACCCAAGCGTGGGATGCTGTGAAGCGATTAACTCTCCAGGTGACGATTCATGTTCTCAGAATCAGTTTCACTTTTGGTTGTTTTTACTTCAATTCATTAATATACAGTTTTAATAGTATCTTCTGGTTGAGACACACCGATCTGCTATAAACTAGTTTCTAGTGTTAGGGTTGATGGCATTTATTAAGTTTTTGGCAAACTAATGACACAGTTTCACAGATTATCACAGAGATGCACAATCTGTTAGCACTCGAAACGTGCCTGCTCCTACAACAGAGTCTTACCCATTATTGCTGTGGCTAGGGCTGGGCGATATGGCCTCCAATCAATATCACGCTAAATGGAGCAGTTCACCTCGATAACGATAACTAACTGTAAGTTGTCCACTAGATGGGGATGTGGCAGCGTAATTACTCCACTGCCAGTTTAATTGGTAGTATTATTTATCAGATCTGTTCATAAATATTAATAATATTAAAATTTCTACTGGAAAAGGTAAGTAAATTTTCCTTGTATAGCACTCATCACAGACAGAAAGTAACTAAGTGCTTCACATAGGGTGTGCTGAGAAGGATGAAGTTGCCTGGGCCAGTCTGTCAAAGAAAAGAAAGAAAGGGGATGATCTTTTATAAAGCGCCTCTCAGGATAAAAGTCACGAGGCGCTTCACAAAAGCAAAAAATTTATGTACAAAAAGATTTCAAGAAATGATTAAAATATGTTCAAAAGGAAAACAAATGTAAGGAAAGGGAGAGAGAGTGAATAGGAAAGGGAAATCAGTGGATCCTGGGAAAGGTGGAGTAAGAGCAGAACAAGGAGAGGGAGGTGATGAAGGTCCCACCAAAGCCTGAACAGGTGAGTTTAAAGGAGACCACTGAGTCCACTGATCTCAGGCTCAGAGGGAGAGAGGTCCAGAGTCTGGGGACCACAGCAGCAAATGATCTGTCACCTTTGGTCTTCAGCCTGGTGCGCTGCACAACCAGTAGGCTTTGATCACTGGACCTCAGGGACCTGCTGGGGGTGTAGGGACTAAGAAGATCACCAATGTAAGATGGTGCTTGTCCATGTAAGGCCCTATAGACCAGAACCAGGATCTTGAAATGAACCCTGAAGTTGACTGGCAGCCAGTGAAGCTGGAGGAGAAGCGGGGTGATGTGGGTGTGTTTGGAGGACTTGGTCAGAAGCCGAGCACAGGCATTCTGAACCACCTGTAGACGGTTCAGGGAGGTTCTGCTCAGACCCGTGAAAAGAGAGTTACAGTAGTCTAAGCCTGAGGAGATGAAGGTGTGGAGAACTGTCTCAAGTTCAGAGAGGGACAGAATGGGACTCAACTTAGCAATGCTCCTGAGATGGAAGAAGGAAGAGCGAACAAGAGAACTGACATGTTAGCTTAGTGCACCATTAGCTTGGCACTAAGCTAACATTCTTGTGCATAGTCTTGAGTTTGAATTATTCCCACACTTTGTAAAATGGATGAAGACACCCAGAGAAAGCCCCAAAAAGTTTCCAGTCACCCTGTTGCATGCTCTTCTAACTGTATGATCAGTTGGAGCTGCAGTAGCAGAACAAGCGCTTGTTGTTAAGTAACCAGAAGATTATGTAACCCGAAAGTGAACATAAACAAAGCGTCAATCTACAAAATAAAGTATTTTTTATTGATTAAATCTAATTATTTGAGTATTAGTTTCAGCCCTAAACTGATGCAGTTTTATCACTTAAACACCTTTTTTTTTTAGAACCGCTGAGTTATGATGGTTAAGATGTAAAACTGATGTCTCAGAGAAAACACAGAAATGGTCAGAAAGGCCAACATCCTTAACAACAATGTCTGATACATCAGCATCTTTGGTTAAGATTAAGTCTAGTGTGTGACCTTGAGTGTGTGTTGGAGCGTGAATAAGCTGGGCAATGTCAAACAGTTCAAACGCTCCCAGGAATTGTACTGCAGCTTTATCGTGCGCGTCATCAACGTGGATGTTGAAGTCACCAGATATGAGAAGATGATTGAAGTCTGCCGTGATAAGAGAGGAGCTCAGTGATGTTTTATAAGAAATCAGTGCATGACCCTGGATATCTGTATATTACTAACACTAAGATCTTGGGTGGACCTTTTAATTGAAAACAAAGATACTCAGAAAGGTCTAAGTCACCGTGCACTATCTGTGTGTAAAGGAAGGAGTCTTTAAGATAGCAGTGACACCTCTCCTGTCACATCAAGCCACGTTTAGAGATGTGACATTTGGTGGTGCTGATTCTATGAGAACTGGTGTTAAGCCTAATTTATCCTTCTCTAAGGGGAAGACGTGCACATACTGGTGGAGGCGGTTTGCTCTCTGACTTCTCCGTCTCCTGGGGAGCGTTGCAAAGCAATTCCCCGCCAGGACACCAGAGGGCGTAGCGCTTTTCTGGGGTATCCTGTCATGAATCCAGTTCATAATAGTGCATTTACTAGTGTGTTTATATTGTGTTTTTTGTATTTGAGACTTTTTAACACGGACACATTTGTCCCTCACCCTCTTCCACCACTTCTTGTGCTCACGGCCTCTAAACTCATGTTTCCCGTCGATTCTGCCCACGAATAAAATGTTTGCTGCATATCTTTTCACTCCTCCAGTCACAGGGAAATAAAACATTCATGTTTTTACAGTTGTTCCATGAGGTATTCTGCTAGCTGCTCCGTGTCTGCCGCTAGATGTCCTCTGCTCTCTTTATGTGTTTTGAGGGCGCGATGGCGGTGCTGACCAATCACAAGCTTGCGTTCTCTGTTTTGTTGGACGGATGTTTACAAAAGAGAGCTTGACTCCGTCCGTCCTTGTGAGCCTGCTGAAGAGCCTTTGAAAGGACAGATAGTGGCGTTTCGTGTGTCCATCCCGACGCAGACGTATAAATTAGGCTTTAGTCCATTAGTCTGTTTCACATGAAGCACATTTGCATTAAAACATCTCGTAGTTTGTTGTGACAGACTGGATTTAAGCTGGATGGTTCTCTGGGGGGAGACATGTCTCTGGCTGAGTCTCACTGTTTAGAGCTCTTATTGTCTGTCTGCATCCCGACTGGATGAGTTAGTGAAGACCACAACACAACCAGCCCCATCTGAGAACATCACACGTGCTGACAGCTTCCTGACTTTAGGTGCCAGAGTAGTGTGTGTGTGTGTGCGTGTGTATGCGTGTGTGTGTGCTTGTGTGTGATGTATTGGGCCATTCCCATCTGTACCGGGTCGGCCCGGGCCGGGTAGCCCCAGTCGGCCCCAGCCTGGCCCGGTTGATTCCACACATCCTTGCCTTAAGCCCATGTGGGCTGATTCTACCCACCAATCAGAGGCATGCTCTAATGGAAGGTGTGAATTTGCTGTCAGCAGTGGGTGTGTTGGCCCTGGTCGGCCTGAAGCAGACCTCCTCGAGAAGAGGGCTGAGAATGAGCCTTGGTTGACCCAGAAAAATACCAGGCCACCCAGATATGTAAACAACCTATGCTACCTGGCCCGGGCCGACCCGGTACAGATGGGAATGGCCCATAACTTGTTCTTGTTGAACCTATTGAGTGTTTTTGTTTTTACATTTTTAATGAAGGCGGTTTCTTATAAGCAGCTCATGTTTACACCAAGATGTGAAAGAGTTTTCCACAGAGATCAAAGATGACCAGGGGCCTCATTCATCAAACGTTCATAGAAATATTCCTAAATTCGTTCCTGTGAATGGAATTTAGAATGTTCGTATGAACAGTCGCAATTCTGATTTATGAAACATGCGGTGGCCTCCCGTACGCACGTTCCTCCGGATCCGTCTGATGATAAATCCGACCTGTGCTACTCAGTTACTCGTGTCCGTTCTCAGTTATTTACATACAGAAACACCCTCAATTAACCATATTTGATCACGCTACATCCTCAGCTCGTGAGGGGATTCCTGCGTTCTAAATGATATTTTCTTCTTCTTCTACCGGTTCTACCCAGAATAGAGACCGAGACATTGGCTGAAAATCACCAAACAAGTAGCAGAGCTTATAGCTGTTGGGACAGAGGAGAGGCTCCTGTCAGAAACAAATACTTTCATGTGTTAAATCGTAGCGTAACTGGTTGTTTTCTACATTTTACACTAAAGGAGTCGTTCTGGGTGTTTGTTTTATTTGAAAATGTCTTCTTCTGAGCTGTCATTCAGTCTGGTTACCTTGGCAACGCGTGTGTGATGGGGGAGCAGAGGAGGTTCTTGTAGTTGTAAAATAGAAAATGAACTGGAATCGGATTTGTGAGGTTAGTCTGTCTCCACAAAGCTCCCAAATCCCAGCGTAGCTCCAGAAGGATCTCCTGTCGGGGGGCGCTCATGGAAATGCGTTTACTCCAGACAGCAGCTCTGACAAATCCTTTATAATAATATAGAAATGCACCTCAAGCTAAATCACGAGGTGTTTCACAAAGACGAAAATATATTATAATCTGATTTCATTTAGAATAATTAAAGTTTTCTGATGTTTAGGAACATTTCCACCACAGGTACAAAATGATGAGCGCCACACAATGTGTTCATTGGTTCCTACACATGATATACGCACAGATCTGTTCGTAAGTACGGTTGATACATGAGGCCCTGGTTTCTGTTTAGTCTCTTTACCATCTCAGTGCCATAGTGATAGAGTGTCCGCCCTGGGACTGGCAGATCGGGGTTTGAGTCCCGGTTGGGTCATACCAAAGAGTTTAACACTGGGACCCAACACCTCCCTGCTTAACACTCCTCTTTAAGGTGTTGGATTGGGGGTTAAACCACCAGATAGTTCCCGAGTGCAGCCACAGCTGCAGCTCACCGCTCCCCTCCATGGGGATGGGTCAGATGCGGACATGAATTTCACCTGTGTGTGATATGACTTTAACTTTAACTTCAGTGATGGCTGCTCTTTGCTTTGTCCATTCACAGCAACGTGTACTCTGTTGCATGACTTCATTACAGGTTAATACCTTTTCCTAAATTCACTTGTCTTTGGGTTTCAACATGAAGTCCAACAGCTGTTCTAAAGCATCTTAATTCTTTTTGCTAGGGCCACACAA